GATATTTGTTGGAGATTTACTAATTTTTTTCTATCTGCAAAGTGGCCCTGATACGCCGTCGCACTTTTCAACCAAAAATATGTTTAAATTAAAAAAAATTGAGATAATTGTAATTTTTAAAAAAAGATTAAATAAAGTGCTTGTTAAACTGAGCTTTCTGGTCACCTGTCGTTACAGGTGGGCAATCGTGTAACTGCCACATATTTCTGTTAGCAAAAAATCACGAACCATGAAATTTTATGAGGCAGATAATCAACATTAAACAAAAAAGGACTTTAACTTAAAGTTAAAATCTGGTTGGTAGTAGACGAGAGTCATCATTAATGATGGTTTTAGATATTTTCCTGTAAACCTGAAGCTGCTGAGTCTCAGCTCAGAGTTTAACGAAGTAAAGTGTTTCTGTCGGTTCTGAGTGATGAAGACCCTGAGTTCTGCTTGGTTCTGTGTAATCTGAATGTGTGTGAGGGAAAAGGATGAAACAGACGACACAGCAGAGCCGGGGTTATCCAGGGTCAACCATCATCACAGTCTTCCTCACTTACGGCAGGGGTGAGCCAGGACTCTGATGTCATCGATGGCGATGAAACCCGGATGACCTTGGACTGAAACCGCTTCGAATATTATCTGAAAGAAGGAAAAAAAGAGGCTGAGTGTCAGTTTTCTAGTTTTCTGTGAAACTCAGAAATAAAACTTCTGTTTTTTTTTGTTTTTTTGTTGTTTTTTTCAGACTGCAACATCTTGACGTGTCTGTGGCGCTCATATGGGAACCCCAGGGGAATTTTCCACTGAAAGTCAGCAACTATTCATCTTTTCACTTCATCACTTCTGTCTCCATCCTTATGCCAACCACATATGCTGTCACTTCTTTTTTCTCTCCATCTTCCATTCTTCATCCCTCCTTACTTCTTCATCTCATCTTTTCTTTTTGTTTCTGCTGTTTTTGTTTCATTCTTGTTTTCTCTCCTTTGTTAAGCAGATCTTATATTAGCTCAAAACTCAGTCTGAGGGTGACAGGAAGTCAGCCGGGCCACCGAGAGGTCGTGCCCTTCTGACCCATAAATACATAAAAATACACCCAGAAAACACACACCAACTGATTTTACTGGAGTTCGTGTCAGGACACTCAGCAGGCTTCAGTCTGAATTTTAAACACTTCTGATGCTTCTGTCCCATCTCCAGGAGGAAAAGATGAAAGATCTGGTTTTTGTTTTCCTGTTTTTAACCAGTCATGTTCTGCGACCACAAGCAGTTTGATTAATTCTGTTGTGTTTTATCTGCCTGATTAAAACAGGGTCGCATTTTCTCTTGCATCCACATCCTGAGAGGTTGGCTACAGTCCAGTAAATCTTCTACTTGGTAATAAATTTGGCAGCTGTGGTCAGAGAAATATGATGCAGCTTGGAGATGTTTTTATAGCCTTGAGTTTTAACATGGATATCTAGAATCTTCTTCCTGAACTCCTCAGACAGTTCTCACCAGTCTCTGCTCAGTATGGTGGTCACAACCAAACCAAACAATCAAATTAATTAAACTAATCAAACCAACAAACAAATCCAACCAATCAACAAAACCAAACAATCAAACCAACAAAACCAAACTAAATTAATCAAACAAATCAAAACAACCAAACCAAACAATCTAATTAATTAAACTAATCAAACCAACAAACAAATTCAACCAACCAACAAAACCAAACAATCAAACAAACAACCAAACCAACAAAACCAATCAACCAAGCAAACCAATAAACAAATCCAACCAATCAACAAAACCAAACAATCGAACCAACAAAACCAAGCTAAATTAATCAAACAAATCAAAACAACCAAACCAAACCAAACAGCCCAACCATACTAACCCAAACCAAACCAACTAAATTAATCAAACAAATCAAAACAACCAAAACAACCAAACCAACCAAACTAAACCAAACCAGACCAAACCAAACCAACCAAAACTAAATCAACCAAATTAATCAAACCAAGCACACAATCAACAAAACCAAACTATTGAATCAAACAACCAAACCAACCAAACCAAACAGCCAACCAACCAAACCAAGCAACTAAATTAATCAACCAAACCAAACAACCCAACCATACTAAACCAAACCAAACGAACTAAATTAATCAAACAAATCAAAACAATCAAAACAACCAAACCAATCTAACTAAACCAAACCAAACCAAACCAACCAAAACTAAATCAACCAAATTTATCAAACCAAGCATACAATCAACAAAACCAAACTACTGAACCAGACAACCAAACCAACAAAACCAAACCTAAAACTAAATTAATCAACCAAACAAAACCAAACCAACCAACCAACCAACCCAACCAACTAAACTAATCAAACCAACCATACAATCAACAAAACCAAACAATCGAACCAAACAACCAAACCAACAAAACCAAACCAAACAACTAAATTAATCAAACAAATCAAACCAACCAACCAATCAACAAAACTAAACAATCGAACCAAACCAATTGATACTACATCAATGTTGATTCTACATTGATTAGACATTGGCATTTCAATAATTAGAATTAGACCATGAAACAACAGATTTAGTAAAATCTTTTCAACATTGGTTATTTGGCTAGACTTGGATGATTGATGGTTGATTCTCCACCAATTGTCTATAGGACTCAGTTAACAGGTCAAAGGTTAAAGGTCATGAGAGAACAGTGAGAAAAAGACTGAACAAGTATGGCATGTTTGGAGAAAACTTCTGGCAGCCCAAAGAGGTCTGGAAAGTTTCATAGGAAGAAAACACAGAACTTCTGGAACAAAACCAGACCAAAAATCACATGTTTACCCAGAATGCACTGCAGCATGTTTAAAAAAATAAGACCTGAAAGTTTGTTGTTGCACTTTAATTCTGTAGAATTTTAAATCTTAATTTGACACATTTCTTGTCCTATTTTTGAAAAACGAAGCCTTCTTGGGAGGTCAATTAGAGAAGGAAAGCAGAAAGAGACACTTTAGTTGTGCTTTGTTTCTGTGTGCAACACACAGGGGGCTTCAATTACTGAGCACGGCTCAGACATTACATAAAATAAAGCTGTTAGTGTTACCTCGCTAAAAAGAGCTCTGCTCAGTAAATCTCTGCACCTTAAATAGACCAATAAACAAAGAGCAGCACAGACAAACCAAAAGTCATTAAAGCAGCAGCTTCAGTTACATTTCTGAACACTTCCCAGAGTCTTAGGTGTGTGCATGTGTGTGTACTACCTGGTAGGAGTTGGGCCAGAATGTAGAAATTGCCAGTTCGGCCTTCACCCAGCCTTCGGTGACGGTATCTGAGGCGTTCCATACGGGGTTACCTTGAGCACCTCCGTTCACCTGCAGGAAGGGAGCAGGTGGAGAGCATTTCACTTAAAGGAGCAACTCCAGGCTGCTAACAGAATTCTAACAGAAAACCAAGGACTTTTGGGCTCAAAGGGTTGGAAAATAAAGGAGGAATCGATTATCTGAGCGCTGAGTCAGCAGCGTTCACGCCGTTTTCCTGTTTCATTCGTTCTGATGTTTTGTTTTTTACTCAAACTACAACCGTTCAGATCGGTGTGTAATAATGCACCGTGACTATTGAAATGTTTATGGTTTTCAAGATATGTCAGTTAATTTAATATAAAGTTTTCAGTAGGTACAATGAAAACTTTTCAGTTCATCATTTCTTTGACCAAATATTAATAAATGTCTTTATTTATCTATCGAAGGAGGATCATGGCGATTTATTGACTTTTATTTAACCACTCTTTATTTATTAAAGAATGCTTATTCTAAATATTTTGAATGTTTAGGTCAGGATGCATCTGCTTCCCTAAACACAGAAGAACAGAACCTGTGGTCCAGGTATCAGCTGCAGTCCTTCTGTTCATTCTTCTAAAAGAAAACGGATGTTGTTTATCTGTTTACCCATTGAGTCGTCCCCTCACACAGTAAACACACCAGGGCAGACTTCCTCCTCCCTCTACAGACAGCAGAGGTCTGTTTGTTTACCTGTTCAGTTTATGAGCTGCTTCAGCTGTCACACACACACACACGCGCAGACACACACACACACACACACACACACACACACACACACCTTGACGTAGACGTTGAGCGTGCCGGGGCTGGCTCCGTCGCGGCTGGACAGCGAGTACAGGAAGTCGACGCAGTGCGTGTCGTTCTCCTTCAGCGTGGGCATGTACAGGTGAGCCTTCTGACCCGACGCTCGACCAGAAGCGTTCACGACCATGAAGGAACCTGCAGGAACCAAAACAGGAAGAGGAAGTCCAGATGAGGTTTTAGACTCCTGCTCAATAATCCAACGAGGGCTGCAACTAACGATTATTTTAATAATCGGTTCATCTGTTGATTTTTTTTTTCGATTAATCAATGAATCGGTCAAATCATTAAAACGCTTAATTACATGAATGAGTAGATATAAATTAATTTCATTCCTGTATGAATTAGGGATGCAATTTATTGATTAATTAATTAATCTGAAGTTTATTTATTTTATAGATTGACTAACAATTAATTGATAAGCAGCTATTTTCTTAAAAACTGGAGTTTTCTCTTGAATCAAGAGGGTCTTCCCATAAAATGAAGGATTTTTTTATAATCTCCTGAATTAAAAAATCAGAAGCAAATCATAAGTATTTTAACAATTTATTTTGCCAGCTGTATTAAATACTGACTGGAAAAAAAGTGTATTTCTCCTACATGAAACATAACAGAAGTTTAATAGGTTGCTGAATGAGGAAAATAGATTAAAATATGATTTTTAGATGTAAAACTATTATTAATTTCTTATAATTAGAATTTATTTACATTTAATATTTGTAATTTTTCTCTAATTCTTTACTTTTTGCTTCATTCTTGTTGGTTCTGTCTGACTTCGACCCAGTATAAGTGGCTCTGAAGCATTTCCAGTCAAATTCTTGTGTATATGGATGTACAGAGCAATCTCACAGATATTTTTCATGTTTTATGGAATCTTTCAAAAACTTAGTTTCTAATTTATTCAACATGTCAGAGCCTGTAGGACGTTAAAAACAATTATTAACATCAAATATTCACTTCCAACCCACTCTAATGCCAGAAACAAGTTCTTCAGCTCATTTCCTCCTGATACAGGAGCTGACAGAGTTGTCTACAAAGTGGAATAATTTCTGTAACGGATCAGGACAGTAAATCTGAAAATGCAAATAAAAGATGAGAAGTTCTGTGTTTATTGACCAAAGTTATAAAGATTTAATTATGTAGTATTTGCGACATGACAGTTATTACAAGTATATTGATCAGGATGAACAGAAATACTGGTTTTTGATTGTTTATTACATAATGCACCAGATTATTACACCACCACGGTTTGTAATAATTGCCGCAAAATGTAATAATGTTATTATATAATCCGTTAAAGACTTTTATTACATTTTGCATCAATTATTACATAATGTTGTTTTAGAGCGAGTTTATTACATTTTGAAGCCTGATTTTATTACAAAATGAGGTCATACAGTACATGGAGCTTAAAATGCATGAATTAAGCCCAACTTGTATTGTAATTTTACTTTGATTGCTGCAGGATCGTCAGCAACTGTAAATTACCTCTTCACAATTGTATTTGTCATAAAATAAGCTTAATGACTGCAGAAGATGAGAATTATTTTAATCTTATTACCTGATTAATCGACAGAATAATCTATTACTAAAATAGTTGTTAGCTGCAGCCCTACTTAAATCTGATCTGAAGACATGAAGCTCTCAGCAGCCTGACTGAACCTGAACAAACTACTCTTTAGGAGCTTCAGTGTGTGTGTTGGAAAATGGTCGGTGTGTTTTCTGAAGCAGAAACCAGATAATTGATGCGGCAGCAAAAATAAAATAAATACTTAAAGCTCTTTAAATCAGCAGAAAGTTATATCAACGTTTTAATGCACCTGCACCCTAAGGGTTCTAAACGTGGACGTAAAGCACACTTTCTTTGTCAGCTTATGGTTTAAGTGTATTTTAGTGTGTGCTTTATGGCAGAGGATGGAGCTTTTTATGGCTCGGCCCGTTCCATTTGGCTAACTGCCATAAGCTGCACTGAGCGAAGTGACGGAGAGTCATCGAAAAAAATCAGTATAAATCAGGCAGGAGGACTGAGAGTTCATTCAGTGTCCAAGTATGATTTTTTTTTTTGTTATTTTTTGCCTTTTATTGCCTCTTAAATTAAAATCAAACCTTTATGGAAATAAAACACTATTTTCTAGCCTTCAAAGCTGTGACTAAACGTCCTAACTCAAACTGAATTATTTGTCTCTTTCTTAATCAACAATGTGACTTGTGTTTAGGCAGTGAGGAGAGGAATTCAGAATGAAGAAAACTGACAGAGATTCTTGGTACATGTGTGGAGGGAGAAAAAAAAGTGAGGCGGTTGTTCAATATGTGACTAAACTGAGAAACAGAAGCAAGATGGGTGAATTTGAAGGGCTTATAAACTCGATGAAACACGGGCCGGTGTGCAGAATTCCAGATAATGGTCTCAGAGAGAAGCTATTGAAGGCAGCATAATTTAAAGGCAGAAAAGAGCAGCGTTGTGGTGCAGAGCGGCAGAGATGGAGGATACTCCAGCAAAGAGCAGCTCAATGAGAGGTGCAGAAAGGATCCACACAGAGCAGTCATCGCTCCCAAGGTGAAAAATTCAACACGACACCCTTTAAAAAAAAACACAGGCAACAAAAGCAACCATTATCTCCTGTACTGAACAAACCAGAGTCACTGAAACCAGGTTTATCCAGTGAATGAGACACAAACGAAGTGTTAAAAAGCTTAAATACTTTGGTGAATCTGGAGCTTATACAGTCAGAGGCGCTCAGGAAACTCAAGCTGAGGAGCAGCAGTAAAAACAAACTCAGAGATATGAAACCATCTGCAGATCGTCCTGTGTTCACTTGTGTCTAAAGCCTGGATTTGACTGAAAACATGGACGATCCAAGATAACGATTTAAGTTTCTCATCATGGAAGAAAAGAAACATCTGTAACTTTGTATGTTTCTCTAAAATCTGACTGAAGCAACAAGAACAGAGTTAGCTCCTCCCACATCTGACAGGACAGATTATTGACCCTCTCTGACCACATGGATGGATGGATGGATGGATGGATGGATGGATGGATGGATGGATGGATGGATGAACAGATGGATGGATGGATGGATGGATAGATGAACAGATGGATGGATGGATGGATGGATAGATGAACAGATGGATGGATGGATGGATGGATGGATGGATGGATTGGATGGATGGATTGATGGATGTTGGATGGACGGACGGATGGACGGATGGATGAACGGATGAATGGATGGACGGATAGACTGATAGATGGATGTTGGATGGACGGACGGATGGACGGATGGATGAACGGATGAATGGATGGACGGATAGACTGATAGATGGATGTTGGATGGACGGACGGATGGACAGATGCATGGATGGATGAATGGATGGACGGATAGACTGATAGATGGATGTTGGATGGACGGACGGATGGACAGATGCATGGATGGATGAATGGATG